CGCGCCGAGCCGGGAGGCGGAGAGCAGGGGCTGAGACCCGCAGCGGGGGCGCGCTTCCAGGCGGCACAGCCGGGCACGTGAGGGCCGGCGCCCGAGACTATCTCCCTAGTCCCTTAGCCAGGTCCTGCGAAGCGGCCACCCCGGGCTTCTCCGTCGGGACTCTGGCGCCCCCGGGACGCCGTCTCTTGGCTCTATTCTGGTACCTCTGGGTGAGAAGAGCTACCTTCACGCTGGGGATCCCGAGTGCACGCGGATGGCCTGGGAACGAGGGGCAGAGGAAGTTGAACTATAAACGCATCAGGAATCTGAATCTTTTGTAGCTGTCCCTCCCCGATATCCCGCGGCGCCCCCTAGAAATCCCCTGTGTCTGCCTGAGGGGCGGAGTGGGAGCCTGGCAGAGGGGTTACCCATTACCCTGAGCTGACCCAGACCAGACAGGCCAACTTGTAGGGGAATCCCCGCCCTCGTCTGTATAACTCCACCCTGTTCATAGCCGCCACTTATCTCTTAAATACCTTTGTGTATAATCTTGTTTTCCTAACCAGGTTATAAATTCTTTCAGATAAGGAATCCACTTTTTGCCTTTTTAGTCTGCTATGTGGGTAAATGCCAATAATTGTTAATGCAAAAGCAGTCAGATAGAAATGAGTTAATTAACACTTAGTTTGTACCAACTTTGGTTCCTGCCCTGATCTGGTGCTGTTTGGGGCTGTTTTTGCCCAGTTCACAGCCCTCAAGAATGCAATCATGAGACAATTAGAGAGCAGGGTAAAGAAATCTATAATCAACTCCGTGGAGGGGTGAGGTAAAGGCTGCTGCAAGTGTAGCATCTGTCTGTGGTCTTGTCTGTTGATGGGGGTGACCACGCTGCCAGCCCTCGTGGGCCACACCTTGGCTGACTCCAGTGGGCCCTGCTCTGGACACGGACCTTGGGGACTCGCAGGTCCAGCCACCTTGCCTCGGCATGTCACCAGGCAGTGGCTGGAGTCCGGTGTGCTCCAAGATGGCAAGCTGGGCCCTGCAGAAAGAGGTACCTGGCACGTGTGTTCCTCCATTCAAGTCCAGCTGCAAATGGGGCACACACCTGCCTCGATACCCAGACCTGTGATCAGCCGGTCCCTGTAAAACCATTTTCACCAAGACATCAAGACAAGAGCCATTCTCCAGTCAATCCTGGGGCCACTGTGTGGCTTGGGAGAGGAGGAAACCCGGGCTAAGGTTTTCAGGAGGTCTTTGGAAACGCAGTATCACCAACCAGGTCAGAGCCAGGCCACCAGGGCCCAGGATCTAGGCCGCCAAACCCCAAGCTCCAAACAGTGCTCCACCCTCTTCCCCGCTGCATTCTGGAACACGTAGTCCCCTTTACAAGACGACTGTAGGTGCAGAAAAGGAATAAGAAGAGCAAGGCATACTGGGAGCCTCGGCGCCACGGCGGGACGCCCGGAAAGCGGACACGCTATGCTTCCTGGGCCTTGAAGTCCAGGGTTGGCCTCCGAGGTGGAGCCCCGGTCCCGGGAATCGAGCGCTGCAGAGAGTCGGCGCGCTGCCTCCTGGGCGTTGTAGTCCTCTCGCCTGCCGCCCCGGTCGTTCCTGGGAAACCTGGTCAGCTCAGAACTACGAGACCCAGAATCCCGTGCACAGACAGCAGGGCGGGCGGGCCCGGAGGCTGGGGTGCCGCCTCCTCTGCAACGCCGGGGCCGAAGTCTTAGAATCGAGGGCCCTCAGGGGTCCCCGCGGCCGCCGCGATGCAGAAATACGAGAAACTGGAGAAGATTGGGGAAGGTAATGGAACCACAACATGTTCCTGCAAGGTCTTCTTTCGCAGATCCTGTAGCATTCCTTGCTGCTCCCTACAGCAATACCTGCAGCTCCGACCTCAGCGCTGGCAGCAGCCCTGGCAGCTGAGCCCAACACTCCGTGCAGACACCAGCCCTCCCCTTGTTAGCATTTCCCGCAGACCCCCATCCCCAACCTCTGCACTCCTAGTAGACGCGACCTCCCAAACGGGCACTTCCTGCACTGCCCACCCCGAGGCTCAGCACCTCTTGCTAACCCCACCTCCACCCACAGCTTCAGTTCGCTACAGACCTCCCGCCTCAGGATTTCCGCAGGCCTTCATTCTTCCCCTAGACCCCTCTCCACTATTTCCAGATCCTCCTGGGGCTCCACCTTAATCAGTTCTCCTTATCCCTGGGCCGCAGGCTGCTTACCTCTGAGCCTCTACAGGGACCTTCTTGCCGCGCCCCACCGGCCATGTCCTCACGCACAAAGCTATTCCTAGCCGAACCTTCCCCCTGAAACCCTTCCCTTGCACGCTCAAACGCTGCCCCCTCCTGGGAGGAATTTCCTAGGATAGCAGAGGATGTGACATCCTCTCCCTCACCCCTGACCTCCTTCCCCTAGGCACCTATGGAACAGTGTTCAAGGCCAAAAACCGGGAGACCCATGAGATTGTGGCCCTGAAGCGGGTGAGGCTGGATGACGACGATGAGGTAGGATTGGGGCGGAGTGGGGGAGGGGCGGAGGGGGTTGGGGGTGTTTTGACTGCTCCTGGCTCCTGCTCACACAGGGCGTGCCCAGTTCAGCCCTCCGGGAGATCTGCCTACTCAAGGAGCTAAAGCACAAAAATATCGTCAGGTGCGTGCCCTTGCCCTCCCTGTCTGTCTGTGTGGGGTGCTGGAAGGGGTAGGGTTCAGCCATGGTCCAGGCTGGCATTGGGATGGATGTTAGGGACCAGCTTCCTGAGCCCTGCCTTCTCCCTAGGCTTCATGATGTCCTTCATAGTGACAAGAAGCTGACTTTGGTTTTTGAGTTCTGTGATCAGGTAAAAGATGGGCTCGGAGGGCAGTAGACTTGAGCGGGTACGGGGACCCAGACTGAGTTAAACTCTGCCCTATTCTCTACCCCATCCGTTTTCAGGACCTGAAAAAGTATTTTGACAGCTGCAATGGTGACCTCGATCCTGAAATTGTGAAGGTTAGGGGAGAGTTGTCCTGGGAACGCATGAGGCTGGGGTGGGTTTGAATTCAGTGCGAGTACTCCTTTAGTGCACATTTGGGCCTGGAGGGGTCAGAGAATGAGCAGACCCTGTTGCTGCTGTCCAGGGGCAAGACCAGCGTTTTAACGTGCTGTTCCTTGACTTGCATAATAAAGCCTTGATCTCAGTGATGTTTGCATTTGAAAAGCTTGCAGAGATAGTTCCACTTGTTCCAGAAGGTTTTTTTGTTTGTTTGTTTTTGTTTTTTTCCCCCGGTATGGGAATCGAACTCACAACCTTGCGCTTGCCAGGCAGGCGCTGTGCCGCTGAGCTAAATCCCCAGCCCCTCAGAAGTTCTTACTGAACACTTTGCTGTGCACCAGGCACTGGTCTAACCCCAAGACCAACCCACTGGCATGGCCCAGGCTCCGGGAGAATCAGGTTCCAAATAGCACTATAATGCCCTACTGGGTGTGTGTTGATCATAATGGCATGTGTGCTCAGGTGTGGCCAGGTAGGGGCAATCAGTTGGGCCAGGAAGGCAGGGAGCCCCACCAGACTGAAGCTCCTGAAAGGTGGGAACCAGAGCCAGCTTAGGTACTGTTGAACCTCTAAAGGTCCTGGAAGGTTAAGGGGTGGTGTCTAAGTCAAGTGGGCCACAGAGCGTGGCAGAGGGTGCAGCAGAAAGCAAGCCATGTGCAGGGCACAGCCTCACCCTGTGTCTGACCCCCTCTTTCCTCTTTCCCCCCAGTCATTCCTCTTCCAGCTGCTGAAAGGCCTGGGATTTTGTCACAGCCGCAACGTGCTGCACAGGGACCTGAAGCCCCAGAACCTACTCATAAACAGGGTACTGCTCTGGAGAAGGAGGGAGAGTGGAGAGGCTGGAATCAGGGGTCAGGGAGCGCTAGGGAACGGGCCGGGAGAGGGGAGCTGGAGCCTGCCCCCTCTCATGTGCCCCCTCATCTTCCCTCAGAATGGGGAGCTGAAATTGGCTGACTTCGGCTTGGCACGAGCGTTTGGGATTCCAGTTCGCTGCTACTCTGCCGAGGTGTGCTGGGGAAAGGGAAGCGGGGTTTCAGGAAGGAGTGCCCGGTGACCACCCTGCACGCCATGCTGTTTCCATGTTCTGTCTGAGCTGCCCCTGGAACCTCCTCTCTAGCCCTCTAAGTGGAGACCCTTGTGGGTGGGGCTTTCTCAAGGTGGTCACACTGTGGTACCGTCCGCCGGATGTCCTCTTCGGGGCCAAGCTGTACTCCACGTCCATTGACATGTGGTCAGCCGGCTGCATTTTCGCAGGTGACGTCCTGTCCTGGGGCTTTGCGGTGGCACTGTCATGTCCTTTGTGGTTGACATCTAGCATCTGGAGGGCCCCCTGCGGGTGGGGAGAGAGAGCCAGACCCCTGGGGCTGGGGATGGAGGATGATGGGGGAAGGACTGGCCGGAGTGAGGGGTCCTTAGTCCATCAAGGCTTAGCCCCCTCTCTTCCCCCCAGAGCTGGCCAATGCCGGGCGACCTCTTTTCCCTGGCAACGACGTGGATGACCAGCTGAAGAGGATTTTCCGATATCCTTCCGCTTCCCTTTGCCCACCACTCTTGTCCTCCCTGCAGAAGGGGAGTGGGCAGGGAGCTTAGAACAGGGGCAAGTGTGACAGTGGCCTGGCCAAGAAGGGGATCCGGGGCTTCTCCAGAGGTGAGGGGAGCAGAGCTTGCTGTCCCCTCCCAGGTGCACACTGTCCCCTTGAAGGTACCGCCTGCAGCGAGGAGGGACTGTTGTGGGGGGGGGGTGAATGCGAAGGATACAAGAGCCAGGAGGGAGGAGGGAGGGGTGGTGCCTTAGCACCAAGGGCACATGGTTTGGGTTATATTAGTTAACATCTGGACACAGCTGACGTGCCTGGCAGTGCGGTGGGCGAATGGGAGCCACAGAGGAGTGTGTGTGTCGTGAACTGGGGTGTGGGGTGGAAGGGGCAGGGGTGAGCAGGTATGAGGAGCTACCCCTTGGAGGGAAGAGCGCCCCCTCAGCCCTGGAGGTGCAGAGCCCTTCCCACGAGTGACCTTGACCCTGTGGACACGCTGCTGGGGACACCAACGGAGGAGCAGTGGCCCGCCATGACCAAGCTGCCGGACTATAAGGTGCGATGAGGGGTACGAAGGGTCAGGTCCCCGTCCTTCCAAGCACCGGCAGCCTGCACACCTCACACCGCCTGTCTGCCCCTCTGCAGCCCTACCCGATGTACCCGGCCACGACGTCCCTGGTGAATGTGGTGCCCAAGCTCAACGCCACAGGGAGGGACTTGCTGCAGGTGGGTGACCGGATGTGTCCAGAGGGACACGGGGAGGGCAGGCCGCGGTAGCTGCCCTGGCTGGAACCTGATGCCTTTCCTCTCGCTCTCCAGAACCTCTTGAAGTGTAACCCTGTCCAGCGCGTCTCAGCAGAGGAGGCCCTGCAGCACCCCTACTTCTCCGACTTCTGTCCCCCTTAGGCCCCAGTCCCCTGGCTGCCAGGCTGGGGCCTGGCCTGCTTAAGGCCCACGAGGGAGGGAGGATGGGCGGGGGGTTGCTGACGTCCAGCTGTGCTGGGCCCAGCCAGGGTAGAGATACCCTGGCCCATAGTCTTCACCCCCTCCATGGACTTTATTTAATTTCATAAACTGGCTCCCTTCCCAGAGTCTGATGCAGTGGGGTGGCCATGAAGGGGGACTGGGGGGCCACGCTCCCCGTTAGCATTCTCTGCAACCCTGCGGTCCAGCTCAGACACACCCAACTGGCCACACCCTGCCCCTGGACTGTAAGTGGCCTAAGACTGGAGGCTGGAGACCTTGACCTTTGACCCCCCGCCTGGGGTCAGGGCGGCGCGGCCCCCCACCCCCTCTGCATTTGTCCCATCTGGGAGCAGAGATAGGCTTCCTCCTGAACAGGGACCAAAGGGCTGGCCTGTCCTTGTGGCTGTCCCCATCTCCCCCTGCCCCCCAAAACTTGCAGGAAAGACCCGAAGATCTGATTCTACCAGGAATGCCCCCGCCCCCTCTGCCAACTTTCCAATGGCCGAGGCATAACAAATGAGAGAAAGGGGTCCAGGGCCAAGGCCTGGGGCATCTTTCCTGGCAGGAGGGGAAGACTCCCCAGCCCCATCTCAAGCTGGGGCTTTTGACTCTCGTGAGGAGGTTGGGGATGCAAGAACTGTTCCCCTGGAATGCTGGGAACAATGGCATTTGGAGGCTGAGGCAGGAGGACTGCCGAGAGTTTGAGGCCAGCCTGGGCCACACAGTGAGACCCTGTCTCAAACAAAAGAAAAGACTGTTCCCATGGAGACAGGCTGGTGCCGTGCCTGGTCCCAAATGCGAGAAGAGGGATCGTGACCTTTGAAGGAGGGTGCCAGTTTGTGTTCTTAGAAGTGGAAGAGCCCTTTGTCCTCTCCCCTGCTTGCTGGGCTCTGGGTGGGAGCCCCCTTCCAGCTGTGCCCTGACAGTGCACTTAGCACCTACTGACCAGACTCTGTGCCTCCCCTTGAGCTCTGGCCTTGGGGAGAGGGTCCTCTTCTCTGAGATCCCCATAAACTCATTCACACTAAAGTGCAAATGACTGATAGTCTCTTACTACCATCCTCTCCAAAGGCTTGTGAAAGCTCCCTGGGTCCCCCCCTCCAATGTTTGTGAAGCTCATCCAGCTCAGGATGGCTGGTAGGTGCTTCTGGACTGAGGAGGGCTCGCCGGACTGGCTCGCGTCTGCCCTGGGAGAGGAACGCCTGAGCCAGATGCACTCAAACTTTATTTGGGGCAGAGACAGCACAGATGCGCAGGCTGGGTGTGTCTGGGATGTGGAGGTATGGCCCTGAGCCCCGACTGCAGGTCTAGAGCTGTGTGACCAGGTAGCAGGTGCGGTGGGAGGCGGAGAGCGTCTTGGTGACAGCGCAGGGAGAAGTGGGAGGCCTGGGGAGACACGGCGGGCTGCAGTGGGTGCCTTCACTGCTGCCCCCAGCCTCCTCTGGACCACAGAGGACCGTTTGTTTGTGTTACCTGTGGCCCAGGCTGAGGTGGGGAACGCGGGTCCCACGGCCGGCCAGGCCTTCCTGAAGCTGCGGGAGTTAGAGGGGGAGGTCAGAGGTGCTCTGGGTGGAGGCCTCACACCCCTCTAGGGCTGGCAGGGCTGGTGGAGGGGCTGTTACCAGATTGGTGCTGGAGTGCCTTTGAGAGCGCCTTCGGTTCCAGAAGTACCCCAGCACCCTGTCTTGGAACACCTGGGGAGCAGGGGCAGGTGGCCAGGGTGCATCTTTACGGACCCTTCGCACCAGCTCCACCCCTCCCCACCAGGGCCCTGGCCCACCTCACAGAGGAAGTCTAGGATCTCTAGGACGGTGAGCAGGCTGGCTCCGATGAACAGCCCCATCTGGCCCCCAATGTCGCCTGTGGAGGCAGGGTGCCTGTCAACTCAGCCACCCGCCCGGCCCGCACCCACGTGACCCCAGGCCCTCTGCACGCACCGAGCAGCTCCGACATCTCGTAGGCCTTCTTCTGGTCCACTGTCTCATAGTTGAGGGCCTCAAAGAAGATGTCAAGGGCGAGCACGTTCTCTCTGCAGGAAAATGGGTCTGAGTGCTCGCCAGGCACCCCGAGCCCCAGAGCCCGTGCTGATGGGGGCCTGGGTCTGACGCAGGCTCTGTGCACGAGGCGCATCGGACCCCCAGGAGCCTGGGCTGGAAAACCCGCCCATCCTCCCCGGCGCGGCTCACGCGATGTAGGCCTCGCTGCGGTTGAATTTCCGGGCCAGGTAGCGGGCGGCAGCGCGGCTCGGGAGCCGCACCATGGAGAGCTCCTTGGCGTAGCGCGTGATGGCGCACGGGTTGGGGCAGGCGCACGTTTCCTTCCGCACCACGGCGTCTGCGGGCCCCCCAGAGGCCGGGGTCAGGGCAGCCAGCCTGGTGCGGGCCGGGTCGAAGGTGGGGTCAACGGCGGAGTGGGGAGAGGCGGAGGAGGCATACCCCTTACCCAGGGCTGGGCCTGCACAATCCTTGTACTGCTGGGGGCTGCACACAGGAGCACTGCCTGGAGTGTGAGGAGGCGGATACAGGATCCTGAGCCCTCCCCGGCAATCGGGCTCCCCCACCCTAAGGCCCGGACCCCACGTCCTTACCCGGCATGTGCATCATCCGGCACCCGCACTTTCGAGCTACGAAGCGGGCCTCGCATGCCATTCGACACCCCATTAAGCTATAGGGAGGGCTGGGGTTGGAACTGGGGCTGGGGGCACCCAGGAGATCAGAGGGTTCCTCGAAGTCGGGGTCCACAGATGCGGAGCTGCAGTCACCCCAGGGCGGTGGCAGGAAGCTCAGCTGTGGAGGGGCAGGGTTAAGGAGGACCTGGGCCAGGGTGCGAGGGTGCTGGGGTCTGGAGCCGGGCCGAGGGACTGCGGGTTTAGAACGGGTGCAGGAGGAGCGGGCGGGCGGGGCTGACTGGAGGCACAGCGAGGATACTTGCTGCTTCTGGCAGGACACAAAAGTCTGGTACCCTGGGGCTGCCCCAAAGCCCAGCTGGTCGATGACAGGAGGCTCCTCCTGGCTGTGGATCTGCACTCGGATCCCCACCTCAAACGGGGTATCATCTGCAGGGAGGGCCTTTGAGGCCTGAGTTCCCCCGGGAGACTTTCCTTGTCAGCCCACTCTCCCCAGGGCTTGGAAGAGCCACCCTTTCCCCGCTCGTAGAAAGCACGAGCTTTGGGGTCTGTCGCGGGCAGCTCCTCCCCTCCTCTCCCTCTCTGCCTTTCACACGCCGTCGCCACCCCCAGCCCCGCATGTGACCCGCACCAACGTGTGTGCCCCTACCCGTCGGCTTCCACACGGGCAGATACTCTTCCTGCTGCACATCCAGCAAGATATCCAGGCCGTTGCCAGCACCACCTTTGGAAGTAGTGAGTAGCTGGGCCCCGCCAGCACCAGAGTTGAATGTGTAGCACTGTCCCATCCGGGTGAAGGTCTGGCAAGGGGGACAGGAAGTGACAGCCCTCTCCCCAGACGAGCACGAGGACATGGGGCTTCTCCTCCCCTTGGGCTTCATTTGGTCTTCCCTGTGAATTCTGAAGCCCACGTCTTGATGCCCCAAGCCCTATACTGTGTAGTGGAGCCCTCTCTAGTGCCCCTTTACCACTCCACCCCCCGACTCCCACCAAGCCCTGGCGCCGCCTACAGGGCAAATGTTACTTCTGGGGTCAGGAGGAAAGGAAGTAGGTTGCTGCCTCCTGAATGCTGAAGAGGTGGAGGAAAGCAAGTTCCCTCCTGGCAGAAAGAGGTTCTCTGACCTAGCGTGGTGCCAAGAAAGCCCCACACGGGAGCAGGGCCTGCACAGCCAGCTGGGGTAGCTGGGGTCAGCTGGGGTAGAGTGCCACCCAGCTGGGAGGCAGGGAGGGAACAGAATGGTACTATGGGGAGAAGAGCTGTGGCCTGCGGGAAGGAAAGGGGGTCAGGCAGAGGGGGTCAAAGTTCCCTGGCTTTGGAGGAGCCCAGGGCATGGTGGATCGCCGGGCAGGGTTGGGGGGCAGCTCACCACGGTGAAGTTCTCGGGCCCACAGGGCTCGCCGCGGTAGTGGCAGTCCAGCAGCATGTCCTCAAGCGAGTGGCCAGCGCGGGCATAGAGCTGTGCCATGTCGAAGGTGGGGCTGGGCATGAAGCCGGGCGGTGCGGGTGGCCGGCCCAGCGTGCGTAGGAAGGCGGTGTGCTCGGCAGGGTCCAGGCCCAGCAGCGCGGGGCCGGCCCAGTGCAGGTCATTGGGTGTGAGGCGGGAGCGGCGCAGTGGGTTGATGTTGCATAGGGTGACGGCCGGGAAGGTGAGCCGGTCACTCTCGCGCTCGTCTAGGACCGTCTCGTGGTGGAACTCCCCGTAGTAGCGCACCCGCTCCTCCACCTGGTAGAGGAAGGCTGCCAGCGACAGGAGCATGGCGGAGGCCCACAGCCCGCGGCGCAGGGTAAGGCCGCCGGGGCGGAAGACATGACCCAGCCCGTGCAGCGTGCAGTTGCTGGCAAACACGTGGATGTCGGAGCTGGGCCTCTGAGCCTCCTCCAGCCCCGAGGGGCCCTTCATGGCTGCAGCTGGAGGGGAAGAGGGCAGAGAGCAGGCCTGCGGCTTGGAGGGAGCGAGGGTGGGCCGGAGGACTGGCAAGCGCGGCGAAGCAGGATTCAAGTGGCCAGGCAGGGGCCAGGCAGGTGAGGTGAGCAGAAGAGAGGGTGGGAGAAGAGCCAAGGGGATAGGTGGGGAGGCACTGGCCTGGCGAGGCAGGAAGAGGTGACCTGTGGGTCCAGCTCGGCTTTCTCCAGAAACAGGCAGTGGCTCGGCGCTGAGCTCCGCGGCGGGGACCAGGTAGGGCACGGGCAGTGGTGGCAAGCGGGGGCTGTGGAGCTGCGTGGGGCAGTGCTGAGTGGAGCTGCTGCAGAGGATTGGGTTTCAGCAGTGAGGGGGGCCCAGGGGCCAGCAGAACGGTCTGGAGGGCAGGGAAGTCCCTGGAGCCCCAGGCTGAGCCATTAGTGCAGGGGGGGCCACTGCTGTCAGAGACCAGAGGCGCCAGGAGGAAACCACAGCAGTCCTGGGGAGGGCTCCAAGGGAGCCCTGAGATATGTTGGGGCTTGGGGTGCTGTTGGGGTTCGGGGTGTCTCTGAGTCCTCAGTGCCCGGGTTGCAGCCCCTGCATTTCAGGCCTGGGGTCAGTCACTGACCCGTGGCCCAGCCCCGCCCTCTGCCCTGCGGCTCCGAACAACCCCACCTGCGAGCGTCTCCTCTTGCAGAGTAGACTTGGCTCTTGACCAGGCCAGAGAGCGGTGGGGAGCTTGGCATCAGCAGATCTCTCTTCTGTGCCCCCAGCATCCCAGGCCTTACTGGGCAGGCAGGGCCTTCTTCAGGTCCCACACCAGGGACACCCCGTCTTGGGGGCATCCCCCTGTCCCTAAGGAGTCAGATCCCTGCTTCCCCACCTTCAGAACCTTGTTGGTGAGGCTGGCCTGAACCCCAGGTAATGTGTGTGCCCTCCTGCCACCCCCCAGGTTCCAGGGGTGCCCTGTGACATCTTCCCGTTCTTACTGAACACATCCTGGAGACCCTGTGAATCCCAGCACCTGGGAAACCCCTTGTAGAAGCGGCTGCATGCCGTGCGAGGTTTATTTACCCACTCCCCCTGCTGAGGACCAGCGTGGGTTTCCAGTCTTTCCAGCACAAACACTTGCTGCCAATACCTGCAGGGTGTGCACGTCCAGAAATACAACGGCCAGGTCCCGAGGCCACTTGGTAGATGCCACCAAACTCCCCCCATAGCGGTGATCATTTTGTGCTCCCAGCGGTATCGGGGAGGGAGCGCATCTGTTCCTGCCTGAGCCGCTTCCACACGAAGGCGCTACAAGCCCCGAGCCCGCTGGGTGCCCTCCAGAGAGCGTGGGCTCTGAGCAGGGTGCAAGAGGGTTGGGCTGGGACACCCACCCACGCAGCCAAGACCTGTCGTCGCTGTCCGCAAGGCCAGTGCTGGCTAGGCTGAAGCAGGACAGGGCGCTGGGCTAAGCTGCAGGTCTGTGGCCCAGCTGAGCCCCAGGGGGCCTGCAGGGCCCTGGTCCTCATTTCACTGTCAGCTCTGTACTGGCTAAATGCACGGTGACACTTCCCACCAGCCTGAGAAAAAAAGCAGGCTTATTTTTGTGGACTTACGGAAGTTTATTTCATCTCTTGTCTGAAAGTCATGGAGGCCGCCAGATTAATTTCAGTGGCTTCTGGCTGTGAGTGGTGGGGACAAAAGTTTTCCCAACAAAACATGATCACGCTGTGCCTCAGCTGCTCCTCTGTCAAACCTTCAGGCTGAGCAGGGACAGCCTCCTGGGCTCTGGTCTCAGCGGCACAGGGTGGGTGCATAATTGGGAAGGGACGATGAGTATGGTGGCTTGTAGCGCAGAAGTGACCATTTTCTGAGTCCACCACACTGATTTTTGGTCTCGCTATGTAGTTCAGGCTGCCCATGAACTCACTATGTAGCCCAGGCTGGCCTTGAACTCACATGTATCCTCCTGCCTCAGCCTCCTGAGTGCTGGGATTACAGGTATGCCCCACACCCAGCTCACCCTGTGATTTTTAAGCACTTCACCACAGGTCATCCCATTTTTTTTTTTTTTTTTTTTTATTGAGACAGGGTCTCTGTATGTAGTTCAGGCTGGCCCTGAACTCACTGTAATGTTCCTGCCTCAGCCTCCCGAGCCCTGGGATTACAGGCTTGACTTCCACTTAACTCTTGGAAGAAGCTTTCAAAACCAAGCATAGCCACACTGCTGATTTCTACTGTGTAGGTGCGGGTGCAAGACTGAGGTGAAGTTACACCACCATCTAGGCAGGTGGCCCTGTGGCAGGCGTGGCATGTCCGCATAGGCACACCTGGTCCTAAACCATGGCCCGAGCTGCTGCTGCCTCTTCCAGGATGGCCTCCCAGCAGCAGCCTCTGCTCTGTCTGCCCCATGGGAAAAAAAATTTTTTTTTCTTTTTGAGACAGGGTCTTGTTATGCAGTTCAGGCTGGACTTGAGCTGGCTTTGTAGCCCAGGCTGGTCTCGAACTTGTGACAGTCCACCTCCCGCAGGCTCCTGGGTGCTGGGATTAGAGGCGTGCGCCACCACGCCCGGCTTCTGCCTATGGAAAGTGGAGCTACCCCTTTGCCGCAGGAAGAATCCAACATGCCTGGCAGGCAGCACAGGGAGCCCAGCCTCTCTTCCCACCCTGGGGAGCAGCTGCGTGGAGTACCGCTGCCCGGTTCTCAGTGGGAAGTGACAGGGACAGCGTCCAGGCACAGAGCCCCTAGCCCTGCGTGTGGGTGGGGAGGGCTGGTGCAGCCGGAGCGGCACAGGGACACAAGGGCCTCACTGCCCTGTCCTGGGCACCGGCTCAGCCCAAGGGCTCTCCCCGTGTGCCTGGTCCCACAGACGCTGCCGGCGGCCCAGGCCTGCCCTATTCAGCCCTGGCGCCACAGGCTCATGCGCTTCAGCTTCACCTGGTCTCTCTGGGTCCCCCGCAGTGGGGCAGGACGCTAGCCTCAGTCTCACCAGGTCAAATTCAAGGCACACAGGCAGGGCAGCGGTGCCCAGCGAAGCAGGCAGGCAATTCCTGTGGGAACGGACCACTCCTCCCGCACCCTACCCCGCCCAGCCGTGGCCCTGGGAGGCGTGGGTCTGTGGGAGGCGGTGGGAGGGGAGATCCAGACAGCGGGGCCTGAGGTGATGATGGGGACAGTGAAGGACGGGGCTGTGGGGCGGGGCCAGGAGCGCTTGGGCGACAGTTCCCAGGCAAGGCGAGTGAGGCGAGTGAGCCCTGGCTGGGGAGGAGCCTGGGTATTCAAAATTCCTTGGAACTGGGCCTGGGGCAACTTCAGAGGGGAGGCAGAGGGGAACGGGGCAGACGGGCCTGGGTTCCACCGTGGCGCGTTCGCCCAACAACCTTGTGCGAGGGTAGGGAGGAAGGAGGCAGTGGGCAGCGAGGGCGGAATGACGGGAAGGATCCCAGCTCCCAGGCGGCCACGGCCGGCTTTATTGTGTGTGGGGCGGAAGGAACAGCAGTCACCCCAACGTGCTGGCCCTCCAGGGACTCAGCCCTGCGAGTCCCCCAGCCCCGGCGCCAGGAGGTGGCAGTGAGCAGACGTCAGAGTCACCCTCAGGTCCTGTGCCAGCGGTCCCGGGGGTCTCGCCGAGTCTCCAGAGGCGGAGTGTCCAGGGCCTGTCTGCGGATCAGCTCGGCGTACAGCCCGCCTTTCCTCAGGAGCTCTTCGTGGGTCCCAGCCTGCAGAGGGGAGGAGGGCCTGAGGGTCACCCCGAAATGCCGTGCAGAGCTTGGGAAGGAGGCCTCCCTTGCCAGCCATTGGGCTCACGGTCACATAAGCAGCCTCTCTTGTGGCGACCCTTGGAAAGGCAGTGCCTTGGGCTCAGAGATCCAGTTGGCGCCACCTCCTTGCTCAGGGCAAGTCTGGAGAACACCCAGAAGCTCGGCCGTGTCCGAGCCTACACGCTGTCCCAGGACCTACCCGGCTTGTCTCTCAGGGTCCCTGGTGTGGCCTCTCTACACCTCAGCCCCTCGGTGGCTGGCCCTCCCCAGAGCTGTCTACTTTACCCCTGGCTCCCGGGAGCCCCGGGCCCAGCTGGACCTCCTGGGCCCGAGAGGTGGTGCTTATCTAAAGAAGGCTGGGCGCCAGGCAGAGGCTCAGGGAGCTCGGCTGCCCCGCCTGTGCTTGTGTTAGAGGGTGCGGCCAGCCCTAATTCGCCGGCCCACCCCAGGCCCAGACTCACCTCGCAGACCCGGCCGTTGGCCATGACGACAATGTGGTGGGCCGCACGCACGGTACTGAGCCTGTGGGCAATGACCAGCACGGTGCGGCCAGCGCTGGCCCGGTCCAGGGCCTCCTGCACCACCCGCTCAGACTCCGCGTCCAGTGCGCTGGTGGCCTCATCCAGAATCAGCACTGTGGGCCGTTTGATGAGCGCGCGGGCGATGGCCAGGCGCTGCTTCTGGCCACCAGACAGAGCTGTGCCTCGCTCACCTGGGAGGCAGAGGGCGGGTGGAGGCCTCAGTGAGCCTCCGCTCTGCACTTGGGTGGCCTGCAGAGGGGCGCCGAGTCCTTCCTTGCAGTCCCAGCGCCCCATGCACGGTCATCAGCCTCTGAGGCCCCCGGGGCTGTCCGGCCTCTCTGAGGCGGGGACACCTGTCAGCTCCACAGCCCCGGGCAGATGAGTGGACACAGACAGGGATGCGTGGGGAGCAGTGGAAGATCTGGTGCCCAGACATGGTCCTGGGGTGAGGGGACTCCAGGCAATGGACTTGAAGCCCACCCAGGACAGCAGCAGCGACAGCCTGGGAGCCAGAAAGAGCCTCAAGGACAGCAAGACGGCTGCAGGCCACAGGCCACTGACGGGGGTGGGGCACAGAGCTCACGCTGAGATCTGAGGGACCGGGAAGGCGCCGCCCAGCAGAGGCAGCGGGCCTCCTTTGCAGAAGGCAGGCCACAGCCCGCAAGGCTGGCACGCCATCCGCCTGGAGAGGGTTGAGAACCCTGAGGTTCCGTCCTAAGAGGCGATGCTGGGAGCCCCGAACACAGCCGAAGGCTGATGGTAAATACGGCCACAGACTGAGACAAGAATGTTCTGGACAAACACCCAAACTGCAGGCTACAGTGTGCCTGCTCTAGGGGCCACTGTGCATTCCTACCGCCCTCTGTGACATTGGACAACACCCTTAAAAAACTAAGAGACCCTCAAGAGACGGGAGCCGGAAGCGAGGAAAGTTACAGGGAAGACACTCCCTGTCCTCCTCAGGCCTAGCGGGCTCTGAGAAGCTTCCAGGCCCTGTGAATCCCTCCTGTCTGTGGCCAGGGTCCTGTCATGTCACTGCCTGTCACCTCCTCTGCCTCCTCCCTGTCACTGAAGCCCTACCTTGCCTACAGGGTCTGCTGTGCCTGAGCTGCGCGCCCGGGCCTTGCCTGTGTCCCGTCCTGTGCTTCTGGTTTCTCGTCCTTGCCACCCCTGCTGCCCCCAGTCCTGCAGAGTCCCCACTGCCCGCAGGGGACACCGTCTCTCCTGTGCCACACTGCCACGGGGCCTGTGACCCTGGGACGCACCCACGACGGTGTCATAGCCATCGGGGAAGCTGCAGATGAACTCGTGGGCGTTGGCCTCCCTCGCGGCCGCGTACACCTCCTCGTCGGAAGCTTCTAGTTTCCCAAAGCGGATGTTCTCCATGATGGTTGTCCCAAACAGGACCGGCTCCTGCGGGGAGGACACAGAGGTGAGTCCACTCCGACTCCGCCCCGAGTGCCACCTGCATCGGGAGACTCTCTTTGAGACAGGGTCTGCTACGCAGTTCAGGCTGACCTTGAATTCACCGTGTAGCCCAGGCTGGCCTGGAACTTGAAACAATCCTGCTTCAGCCTCCTGAGTGCTGGGATTATAGGCGTGCGCCACCAGTCCCAGCTAGGACATACTGTGTTTTGACTGGATCCCCGCCAAGGGATTTTAGAGAGTCTGAAGTTCAAAGTCAAAGGTCAGTCAAGTCCAGGCAGAGTGGCACATGCCTGTCATTCCAGCACTCTGAAGGCCGAGGCAGGAGGATCAACATGAGTTTGAGGCCAGCTCGGGCTCCATAGTGAGTTCAAGGCCATCCTGGGCTACATAGTAAGACCCTGTCTCAAAACAATCATGCTTCTCCCACGAGTGGGCGGCTGTCCCCTGCACAATGCTGAGGGCGCCGCTCTATTCCCCCGCCCGCACAGCAAGCCTGGCCATCACTGGGCCTAGTGAGTGGGTGGTGGCACCAGCTGGGGGCAGGGGTGGCTTGGACCAGAGCCCGGCCCGGAAGTGCAGAGGAGGCCCGGGCCTCCTGGGCAAGCCTTGGGATGGCAAGGTGATGGCCAGGAAAGAGGTCCGGGGAGGAGGAAGGTGAGGCCAGAGCCCAGCCGCGCCACCCCGGCCAGGCCAGCCGCAGACCGTACCTGGCTGATAAAGCCGATGACCTGGCCCCGGAGCCAGGAGGGGTCCAGCGTGCGCAGGTCGTGCCCGTCCAGCGTCACCGCGCCAGCCGTGGGGTCGTAGAAGCGCTCTAGCAAGGAGGCCACCGTGGTCTTTCCTGGGGTGCGTGTGTTTGGGGAGGAATGAGGCTGAGATCGCACACTGTCCCAGGGAAACGGACCCTGCGGCGGTGAGGGGCACAGCTCAGAGGGGCAGGGGCCCCCGGCGGCGGGGCTCACTGTCCCCAGCCCTGCTCCAGCGGCTGCCAGAGGAGCTGAGGGTGGGGACTCCCTTACCTCCCCCGGACTGGCCCACGAGGGCCACGATCTTGCCAGGGGGCAGCGTCAGGGTGAAGTCCTTCAGCACCTGGAAGCCGGGGCGGCAGGGGTAGCTGGGGGTCAAGGAAGCCCTGGTCAGAGCAGGCCCCCGGCCTCTGTGGCCCTGTGCCCTCCTGGATGCCCGGCTGGACCTCAGGTCCGCTCCCCCACAGGGCTGCCCTGTTCAGCGGTGCTCACCTGAAGCTGACATCCTGGAAGGTGACGGAGCCCCGCAGCTGCTCCTTGGGGACACTGTGGCCCCCCGACAGCGGGATGCAGGGACCCAGGGCCATGTACTCGAAGACACGGGCACCCGCGCTAAGGCCCCGCACCACCTGCAGGGGAACGCAGAGTCTGCACACGGTAGGACGGGGGCACCTCCGTGCAGTCAGGCTGCGACTTGGGGGGCTCTAGAACCCCAGAACCCCACACGCACACACAGGCGGTGCCCAGGGCAGCACACAGGGCCCTGGGGCTGGACAGGACCCCAGGTCGGCCCCCAGCCCCCAGCCCAGGGCACCCCCACTCACCTGACCGAACAGGACAGAGAGGCTGGCCATGGACCTGCAAGGAGGACACAGGGCTGTCACCACCCCTCCCGTGGTGACAAGAGCCAGAGAGGAGGGACACGAGGGACCTGAGGCCGAGGGTGGGGATGGCTCCCAACACCCGGCCTGCAGGAAACAGGGACCTGTGACACTGGTCCCCTGGCCTCGGCCCCCTCCTGGTATGAAGTGAGACCCTGACTCATCCCAAGACCCAGGAGGGGGTCCAGGAGGCAGGGGCAACGGGATGAAGGGCTGGGGGCACAGGAAGGTGTCCACGTGTTGCCCTGACCCCAGCGTGAGGGGTGAAGGCGGCACATCGCATGAGGGGTCCAGGAGCAGGGACCCCACTGACCCAGGACCTCCTGCCCCAGGTCCAGTGACAACACAGATGCTCATGGCAGAGATCAAGGTGGTGTGGCCCGCAGCGGGAGTGAGACCGGATGCTCGACTCCTGGGGCAGCAATGAACTACACAGCAGCCATGCCTCAGAAAACAAAAAAAAGATGGCAAAAAGAAAGTGAAGAGCCGAGCGTGGTAATGCACGTCTGTAATCCCAGCACCCAGAGGCTGAGGCAGGAGGATCGCTGCAAGTTTGAGACCATCCTGGGCTACAAAGTGAGCCCAAGGCCAGCCTGAACTGCACAGCGAGACCCTGTCTCAAAAAGACAAAAAGAAAAGAAAATCCATTTAGAGAAAGAAAACAGACACAGGGTCACAGGGGAGAAGGGTCTCTCTCTGGAGAGACCCTAAAACAAAACTCCAACCAAATGTGTCCCGTGGGCTGGCCTGCAGGTGTGCCTGTGTGGGAGATGGGCGTGTGTTCATCTGTCTAGACAGCGGGTCACCTCCTTTGTCCCGCAGGGCCGGGGATAGGGCAGCTGTGCAAGGAAGGAAGATGAGTCACGGCCACTTACTCATAGGTCCCCGACCAGCCCGGCTGACCCCTGACTGGGTACGCACTGCGGTGTACACGGGCCCCTCGGACATGAGGAAAGGCTGGCTTCCCCGTGACTCTTGGGCAGAGGGACTCACTTCTTCCAGCAGGGGAGGGGTGGGAGGACCCCCAGGCTCACAGAAAGTGGTGCTCGCGGGCAGCAATCTGCACTTGCACTTGCTGAGGAGGGCGGAGAGGGGGCGGGGAAGGGCCCAGAGTTATCTGCGCAGGAGGAGGGGTGGCTCTGCTGAGATCTGGAAGCCATTAGGGCCTGGCAAGGAGGCCGCCACCTAAGAAACCTAAGACGCGCATGACTCATTGCTGCTGTGGGATGACTTTGCTTACAGAGATGCCGCAGGATGCCGCTGTGTCCTGCCCAGGTGGGGCCTGGCCCCAGCTCTGCCAAAAAGGACCCTGGGGATGGGCCCAAAGGCTGGGGCTGCCCTGCTGTGCCCAAGTACCCCTGGACTGGCATCCGTGCCCCTCGCTGCACAGTAGGACCAGAAGGAAACTGTGGCTCCCGAACACGAGATCTGATCTCTGCGGGCGATCGGCGGGGCTGGATGCTGCCGCAGCTGGAACCCAATCCTGCTGAACAGCTGAGCAGTGCAGTGGGGAGGTGGCAAGTCTGTCCTCAGGCCAGAAAGGGCCCAGGAGCCCAGGAGCAGGCCCAGGCTGATTGTAAGGGGGGCCGGCAGGTTTCCTGGGGGCCTTAGGACTACAACATCATCCTGCTTGGAGAGGCCGAGCACGGCTGGTCGGGAAGCTGGGTTGGTACTGGGGGCTCCAGCACAGGGTGCGTGGGGAGCAGAGGGAACCCCCAGCCCCACGTCTCCTGCAATCAGAGGACTGACACACCAGGGGACAGACCCACCAGGGGCAGACCCGGGTGGAGGAGGGAAGAGCCCGCCCGGACAGGAGAAGCGTCAAGAGTGCAGGGCTCAGGCAGCCTGCAGGAGAAACAGGGCTGGGGTGGGGACTGTGCAGCCGCAGAGGTGGGGGTGATGTGCTTTACAGAATGCTGCAGGGGAGGCCGGGCGTGGTGGCGCACGCCTGTAATCCCAGCACTCAAGAGGCCGAGGCAGGAGGATCATTGTGAGTTCGAGACCAGGCTAGGCTACAAAGTGAGCTCAAGGCCAGCGTGAACTGCACAGCAAGACCCTGTCTCAAAAAAAAAAAAAAAAAAAAAGAGTGCTGCAGGGGCTTAAAAGGGGTGCTTTTGTCTACAGTGACAATGGGAATCTCTCTCCCTCCTCTGGGTTAGCACAGTAAGCCTGGGCTGCAGGATTCTATTTTTTTCTTCTTCAGGATTCTATAAAAAACCACAAGCCAGATATGGTGGCGTATGCCTATCATCCTAGGACTGCACTCAGGAGGCTGAGGCAGGAGGATCGCTGCACGTTCAAGGCCAGCCTGGGCTACATAGTTCAAAGTCAGCCTATGCTACATAGTTGAGACTCTGTCTCAAAATGAACGAACAAAGAAACACAAAATACCACAGACAAACAGTAGTGGCAAGACAGGACTCAGCAGGCGGGGGGGCACAACCAGAATCACCAGTGTTGCTTCTGGAGGGAGGATGGGGACCAGCAGGGGAGAGGCCCGGACAGGAGCCCCCTAACGTGATGTTTACTTATTGCTTGGGCTGTTGCTAACACAGATTTTCACTCTCTAATCATTTATTACAGCACTTTCACTCTTTAATTATTTTTCCGGTATGTATTTACGTATTTTCCTACACTCGGGGAAGGCAGAGTGGGAAGCGGCAGTAGGGTGGGACCGGCAGGGGCAAGGCCCACTTCCTATCCCAGCAAACGGCCAGGCCGAGCACAGGGGCAGCCCGTAAAGAGCTGTCACACAGAGAGAGCACTGCTCAGCCCTCAAAGGACGGAGAGCCTCGGGAGGGCTCGAACCCCAAAGGACAAAGGCTGTACTGCTGCAGCCCCCAAAGCAGACAGAGTCAGAGTCAGAGGGACTAAGTGGACAAGCAGCGCCAGAGGGAGGGGCGGGTGCAGGCTCACTTGTGCAGGAGGCGGGTGACGGCTGTGTGACGCTGTCAACCTGCCTGACATGACTGAAGCCTGAACTGTGTGCTTAACATTGTTAGGCGGGTGGGTTAACCTCATGTGGACTTAACATAATTAAAATTTTTTTTTTTTTTTGTCTTTTTGAGACAAGGTCTCACTATGCAGTTCAGGCTGGCCTTGAGCTCACTTTGTAGCCCAGGCTGGTCTCTAACTCGCAACAATCCTCCTGCTTCAGCCTCCCGAGTGCTGGGATTACAGGCGTGCACCACCAAGCCTGGCTAATTAAAAATCTTCAACTGGGTGTGGTGGTGCATGCCTCGGGAGGCTGAGGCAGGAGGGTTGTCTCCAGTTCGAGGCTAGCCTGGACTACATAGTGAGAGCTGGTCTCAAAAAACTAAAACCAACCAACCAAACAAACAAACAGGTTTTCGAAAGTCCTGTCAAGGATACCTGTGAGCTGTGTGGAAGGCCGGGATGACAAGGACAACTGCGTCCTGTCTGTAGAGCCAGTGAAGCAGGCTGGGCAGCAGCCCCCCAGAGCATGCAGACAACCCTGTCCGGACCCGGCAGGGCTCTGCAGGCGAGCAGGGATTATTTTTTAGGGATGAGAACAGCCTCCACTCACCTCTGCACTGTCTGGGAGGCCACCAGGAAGGACATGAGGTCTCCCCCTGTCAGTTGCTGACCAGCTACCAGGGAGCCCCCAACAAACAGGGTGCCCAGGACCATGCCTGTGGGAAGGACAGAGGTGAGGGGCACAGCCAGGGGCGGGGCGAGCCCTGCCCGGGCATCCCAGTCCTGGCCCTGCCCTATCCTCAGCTGACGAGGGCCGAGGTCATCTGCAGCGCAGGGGCAGAGCTCACCTCACACTGTTCCGAGGCGGCCCAGAGCCTCTGGCCGCTCCGGCTGATGCTGCCCCGGCTGATGCTGCCCCCTGCTCCCCACGGGCACCCGGCAGACGAAGGTGCCTGGTCACCGCTGAGAAACCGTGGCTGGTGGTGCTGCCCCGCAGCTCCTGCTCCTCCCTGGCGCAGCCCCGGGTCCCCTCCCGGCAGGCCCCGGGGCTCACTCACAGTTGAAGGCGATGTTGGAGAGGCCCTGGAACAGGGCGATGCCCCTGCCCAGCTCCTCGGCTTTTGCGCGGCACTGCTCCAGCTCTGCTCCGTAGCGTCTGGGGAGGGTCCGGGCAGGAGCTCAGGACGGGCGCGGGGCTGGACATGGGTGTGGGAGCCGCGTCGCCACCCTGGGCTCCAGCCCCTCGGACTTACTCCTCTTCACGCTGCTCCATGGCGAAGGCGCGCACCGTCCGAACGTTGCCCAGGGCCTCGTCTGCTACGCCTGTCGCTCTGGCGACCTATGTAGTGTCCGGGAGACAGGAGGCTGGGCTGGCGATGGGGGTGCTGATGGGGACAGCGGGCTGGAAAGCTGAGGGAAGGGGGCCCCGGCGTCCCCGTACCTGCTCCTGACACAGGCGGGACAACTTCCGGAGACCCGAGCCCATCAAGGTGCCCACGCCCATCAGGGCGGGTGTGGCAATCATCAGCAGCAGCGTGAGGCGCGGGGACAGCATGGACAGGGACACCAGGCAGCCAGCCACCTGCGTGCAGCTGCGCAGACCCTGGCCAGGGAAAGCGGACAGAAGGCTGTCTATCGCCTGTGCCGTGGCAAGACCCTGCCTTCGGGGAGCCCAGCGGCACTCACTGGTCACAGAACTGGACCCTTTCTGACCAGCTGGGGTCCAGTGAGCAGATCCCACTTGTTTCACTGTTTTTCTTTCTTTTTTTTTTTCTGTTTTTTTTTTCCGGTACCGGAAATCGAACTCATGACCTCGCACTTGCCAGGCAGGCGCTGTGCCGCTGAGCTAAATCCCCAGCCCCCTTTTTTTTGTTTTTGCTTTTGTTTTTTTGAGACAGGATCTCACTGTGGAGCCCAGGCTGGCCTTCAGCTCACAGTGATCCTCCTGCCTCAGCCTGCTGACTGCTGGGATCACAAGTGTGCCTCACACCTGGCTTTCAGGTTCTGATCTAGATCAGAGCCAAGAGCCATGCACGGGGATGTGGCTCATCGGCTGCTGTGAGCCAGCATCCAGCGTGACGCGCCCACAGTGGTGGCGCGGGGAAGGGGCGGGTGTCTGTGTGCTCAAGCTCAGGGCCGGCCAGCATCAGCACTCTGCACACACGGCAGGCAACGCGAGATCGCTGCTGCTGGGAGACGCTCTGGTCTGGGTCCCGGGGAGGCGTCCCACACAGGAGGCGGCCTGTCCTGACCTCGGCCACGCCCGCCTCGGCACCTCTTTTCCATGGACTGGACGTCCGTGTCCCCTCATGCACCGCCTCTGCGGGCAGCAGGGAGCCTCGGCGGTGGGCCTGTGCTGGGCTGGGCCGCCAGGCTGCTTGGTGAGTCACCGTGGGCGGGGACACAGGACAGGGAGCGCGGGCACTGACCTGGGAGATGACGAGCTTGAAGGACGACTTGAACTCCTGCACGTCGGTCGTCAGGCGGCTCACCAGCTGCCCTGTCCTCTTGGCATCAAAGAAAGCAATGTCTTGTCTGGCGGTGGGACGGGGCGCGGCAGGGGCCAGGGGAGAGACGGCACTTCATGATTTGACAGCTCCTGGGCCCTCCCGGGGCCATCAGTCACCCTTGCCCACACCCTACAGTGGGCAGTACCGGAGCAGGGAGCTGAAGAGGGCCCTGCGCATGTCCACGGCCATGCGCTCGCCGACGTGGGACAGCAGCACCAGGTACCCGAAGGTCAGCAGTCCCTGCGAGAGAGGCCGGAGCACTCAGGGACGCCCGCCCGGGAAGGCTCTCGGTGCCTGGGGCTCCCGCCCCGCTGTACCTGGACGCCGTAGAGGAGCAGCAGGTGGGTGCTGAGGTTCCGGGACTCGGACATGAAGCTCCCCACGTGGTCCCTCGTGTACTTGGCCACGATCTCAACCAGCTGACCCAGGACCAGGGGGATCTGCACATTCACCAGGGCTGCACCTAGTGCCAGCTGTGACAGGGCAGGACAGAGGGGACACTCGCTTGGAGAAGGGCAGCCGTGCTCTTCCCCTCCCACAACTGAGCATGCTCAGTGTGGGTGACTGCGCGTGCAGATGAGACTTAATGCCCAGGCTTCTAGCTGCCCTGATCCCCATGCAGGTTCTCCTGCTTCTGCGGGGCAGGAGCGCTGTCGTGTGCAGCCGGGTCCTCTGTCCCAGGATGGAGGGGCGGGGAGAGCCTCACCACAACGGCAGCCCCCAGGAGCAGCAGGTGGGGGCGCAGGAACTGCCAGAAGAGCTTCCAGTTGAACTGGGACTGCGTGACAGGGGGCACAGGGCGGGCAGAAGGGGCCTCCTGTGCCTCACACAGGGCTACCAGGTAGAGGCGGGGACGCTTGTACAGCACCACAGGGCCCAGCAGGGCTCCCCCCACCCAGCACCAGGCAGAGGGACTCTGGCTGGGAGCTGCGGTTGGCGGGGCTCGAGGGAGGTGGGCCAGGAGCTGTGACCGCAGCTGGGCCACGGCCCTGAGCAGGCAGGAGCTGAGGCGGCCATCGGGGGACCTGTCAGGAGGGAAGGGACAATAGGTGAGGCCCGGCTGTCCTTCAAGTGACTAACAAAGCATTTCTTCTTCCTTTCAGCCCTCAGTCCTGCCTTCCTTCGAGCTAGTCTTTTCTTTTTGAGGCAGGGTCTTTCCATGTAGTTCAGGCTGGCTTTCAATTCAGTGACAGGAATCCTCCTGCCTCAGCCTCCCAAGTGCTTGGATTGTAGGTGTGCGCCATCATACCTGGCTTATATTGTTTTTTTATTTTATTTTTTGAAATGAGATCTTGCAATGTTGCCCAGGCTGGCCTCCAAACTCCTGGGCTCAAGTGATCCTCCTGTCTTAGCTTCCCAGAGTGCTGGGATCATAGGTGTGTGCCACCACGCCTGGTGTTAGGGTTTGTATCTAGATGTCCTCCTACAGTCTCATGGGATCACAGGTGAGACCTTTAGAAGGTGAATGGAATCTCAGGGGGCTCACAGCTGACTTGCTGTGAGTAGATGGGGTCGGCTGGAAGAAGCAGAGACCACTGTGGGCATGATCGGAAGATTGTGTCTCCCTGACCGCCTCCCTGGATGCTACGACGCGAGCAGCCTTCCTCCACCCGGCTTCCGTCCAGCCTTCCTGCCTTGGAGCCAGGGACTAACTAAAGGTGGGTGCCAAATAAACCTCTCCTTGCAGGAGGTGGTGGCGCACACCTGTAGTTCCAGCACGTGGGAGGTTGAGGCAGGAAAACTGATACAAGTTCGAGGCCATCCTGGGCTACATAGTGAGTTCAAGGCCACCTGAGTAAAACAAAACAAACAAACAAACCTCCCTCCTTTAAATTGTAGGTTTCAGGTATTTTGTCCTAGCAATGAGGGAAGTAATTTTTTTCTGTGTGTCTTTTTTCTTTCTTTTTTTGGTACTGGGAATCAAACTCAGGACCTGGAGCTTGCCAGGCAGGTGCTTGTGCCACTGAGCTATATCCCCAGCCCTGTGTGTCTTTTTGAGACAGGGTTTCACTACTCACTTCAGGCTGGCCTTGAACTCACTTTGTAGCCCAGGCTGGCTTCAAACTTGCAGCAATCCTCCTGCCTCAGCCTCCCGAGTGCTGGGATTACAGGCACGAAGGTGCGCCACCATGACTGGCTTATTTTTAATTTTGAGACTGGGTCTCGCTTGTTGCTAAACTGCCCAGTTGGGGTTGAACTTGTGATCTTCCTGCCTCAGCCTCCCAGAATGCTAGGAGTACAATTCTGTGCAGCCACAAAGACTGCTCTGAAGCAACCTCCATTGCCTAGGCAACTGACAGGAGCAGGGTTTCTGAGGAATGTGAAGGCTGAGCGCCAGCCAGATCTTCAAAGTGCTCCCCGAAGCCAGGCCTGATTTGGCCTCAGGGGCGCCAACCGGAGGGCAGCTCTGCTGGCCTTGGCCTTTCACAATCACCGCAAGCCGGGGCTAGAGGGCACTTCCGGGCCAGGCGGGGACCCAGAAGTCCTTGGTGAGGCTCCAAGGTGACCAGCGCCCCCCGGCGGCTCCTGCTGTGACCTGGCACTGCGCTTGCTCAAGGTGCCAAGCCAGGCAGCCAAGACCCGGCAGCAGCAGAGTCAGGAGGCTGCTGCCTGCGACCCCGTCTCTCCCAGAGATGCCCTTATCCTCACTGGATTAAAAACATCCATGTGGGGGAGAGGTAAAGTAATCTGTCCCCGGGCAGCAGAGCCTGGATGCCCTGATGGGTGGGGGGGGCAGCTCTGCTGTCTGGTTCCAGAACCCAGGCTTATTCTGTGCCACCGTGGCAGGGCCAGGGAGGGACCTGTCACACCCAGCCCTAGACCTCCCTCCCTAGGCCCGAGGGTCCTGTGTGTGACAATGCAAGGAGGGAAAGGGCCACAGGTCCCCCTCCATTGGGTGACAGAGGAAACAAAAATGAATTTATCCTGTCTTGAACAGACCAACCCTTCTTTTTCCTTCAGATGCTGCATCTATAAACTGGTAATATGGATTCAACTGTTCTGGCCATTTTTTTTTTTTTTTTGGAGACAGAGTCTCGCTATGCAGTTCAGGATGGCCTTGAGCTCAATTTGCAGCCCAAACTGGTCTCGAACTTGTGATGATTCTCCTGCCTCAGCCTCCCGAGTGCTGGGATTATAGGTGTGAGCCACCATACCCAGCTTGTTCTGGCCGTTCTTGTTTCACTTTGTTTTGTTTGAGGCTCGGTTTCGCTATGTAGTTTAGGCTGGCCTTGAACTCGCTTACCTAGCCCAGGCTGGCCTCAAACTCATGGTGACCCTCCTGCCTCTCAGCCTCCAAGTGCAGGCATGTGCCACCAAGCCCAGCAATATAAACATATTTTTAAAGGCAGGATCTTGCTATGCAGTTCAGGCTGGCCTCAAACTCGCTATGTAGTCCAGGCTGGGCTCAAACTGGCAGCGATCCTCCTGCCTCAGCCTCCGGAGTGCTGGGGTTACAGGTGTGCACCACCATATACACGTGTAACCAGCAAGTGCTGGGATACAAGGGAAAGAGACATGAGGCTTGGCAAGGGGCAGTCATTCCAATCTCTAAAGCACCTGGATGTCAGAGTGTAAGTCGGAGGGCTGTTCAGGACCATCCTGGATTTTAGGCTGCAAGGTGACATGAGCTTTACAACTTAAAGGCCAGAAGTGGGCTGGAGCAGGATGAGGCTGGCTAAAGGAAGCAGGTTAGAAATGGATGTTAGCGAGCCAAGAGGGCATGGTCGGCTGTGCACACACCCAGGAGACTAGTGGCAGAGAAAGGCTTTTTAGAAAAGCGTACAGTGTGAGGTTTCTTCTTTCCCACCACGGTCTTTACATCCCCACACCCTTCTAATTACAGACTGCCTCTCATCCTCCCTCGCTTTCAGGGAGGCCCATGCGTCTTGCTACCTCTGTCTGATGCCACCCCTTCACCCTATTGCACTTGGCTGGTTTTTATGTCATGTTTTACAGCGTGTTCTACATCCGTCTCAAGTTTTAGATGGGGAATCTCACTCCTCCTTTCCTGTATAATTGTTTTGTTTTTCCCATTGGACTCTATCTTCGCAGAAGGGCAGGAAGCTACACTCAGCAGAGCTCCGGTACATCATAGACGCTGAGCACATATTTGTTGAATACAAGAAAGTCCTCATTAGCGATGCCGAACAGTCTAACCTGACTACAATAGTACCTTGCAAAAGTTTAGACGTCCCACAGCTAATGTTTTACACTGCAATCCCGTGCGAGACCCCAATACCACCCAGTACCACAGAGTGGAAAGGTTTCAGAAAATAACACTTCCCTGATGTTTATTTTTTTTGTTTGTTTTTTTCCGGTACCAGGAATAGAACTCACGACCTCGTGCTTGCCAGGCAGGCGCTGTGCCGCTGAGCTAAATGCCCAGCCCCTTCCCTGATGTTTAAACTCGCAGTCTGATATTGTCGGTTCACCTCATGGTCCACTGAAAGCACCCACTAGGGAACTCACATACACTTGGGTGTTATGTCTTTCCTTGGGTTTCTTTCTGGTTCAAATAATATCAACAGCCTTCTTATTCTTTCCTCAAGACTGTTTTCAAACCGTTTAATAATTTACCATGGCCACTTTTCAGCTTCTCTCATCTCTAAACTAAAACTCTAAGCAGGGCAGGATGCTTGCCAAGAACTGCTAGATTACTTCCCAGCACCGGCACTTCCAGCTCTAGCTCATCCCAGCGCCTGCCCTCCCTCCATCAATTAGACAGCTTTCCAAGGGACACAGCCCGGCAGAAACCGCCCTTGGCCGGGGGCCTGCTTCACCCTCACATTCTTCCCTGCAGGATTAGAAGGGAATCGGTCCCATCTGACAAAGCATTTCAAATGAGATTCCAAATCCTTGTTTCTCATCTTTTCCTCTCCGTGGATGAACAAGAACAAGAGTAGAGTGTTTTGCCAAGAATGAATTACAATTGATTCTTGTTCTCTGTAAATTCTTTTTTTTTGTACCGGGAATCGAACTCAGGATCTTGCGCTTGTCAGCCAGGCACTTGTGCCGCTGAGCTATATCCCCAGCCCAGTTCTCTGTAAATCTCCAATTCCAGGAATTACTTTTTTTCCTTTTTTGGTATAGGGGATTGAACTCAAATCCTTCCCATTGAGCTATATCCCATTCATTTCTTTGCTTTTTTTTTTTCAGGGTCTCTTAGTCCAGTGTGGTGGTTCAGTCCTGTAATTCCAGTATTGTGGGAGGCTGAGACAGGAGGATTGCAAATTCGGTGAGGTGCAATTTTAGACCCTATCTCAAAAAATTGACCCTGGGGAGCGAGGGCCCTGGGTTCAATACCCAGTACCAAACAAAATAAACAAACAAAACTCTCTCAACACAGGGTCTTGCTAAGTCACTAAACTGTCTAGGACGGGCTCGAACTTGGGATTCTCCTGCCTCAGCTTCCCAGACGCGGGTTACAGGCGAGCATCACCACGCCTGGTTCAGGAATCACTTTTGATGGGCTCACTCCCAGTCATGGGAGCACCACCAATAATAAACGTTTCTTGACACTAAAGAATTTTTGCCCAATCGCCAGATCAATTCCAACAGTGCGGACCGGGCCGGGAGTGGTGCCCCCTGGTGGGCAATGCGGATTGGGCGTGGCCACCGAACCGAGGCCTCTAGTCAATCCGACTGGAGGAGGAAGACGCAGAGCTTCCCGCGCCCACCTTGATCGTCGCTATGAATAATTGAGGCCAACGCCCAAGGAGTGACATTCCACCTCCGGCTCGGCTAGCATCAGCTCCCGTCAGGCCTCGCGCGCGCCCGGGATTCCCTCTCCCGGCGGGCCACGCGCACTGCCGGCTGATCAATGGCCCGGGCTCCGGGGAACTGTGTCCGTTTTTACCTGACGGCCGAGAATGACTGGAGCCGGTGGGAAAACAACGACCTGCCCGGGACAGGGCAGCCCCGAATCCCGGCCCGAAACAGGTGCATCAGCATGCTGGGGCGGGAAGACAGGCACAGCCGGTCACCGCAGCTTCACCCTCGTCCCACGGCGGGGTCCATGTTGGCTTCGGCCCGCGTCCCGACAACCCCGTTGCGCCTCGGCGATGATTGGTGGGAAGACACATCAATCTCATTGCAAGCTGTGATTGGAGAAGATTTTCCTACCCGCTTTTCCCGAACTGTGATTGGAGAGCGTATCTATCCGCCCGCCCCCGGCTGCGGGGCTGCGTAGGGAGGGGCTGTTCCTTGGGCCAGGTGAGCTAGTCAGCTCCCGGTGACGCTTTTAGGGTGTGCGCTGCTGTGTCCCCCATCCCCGCGTGTCTGTGGTAACGCGTCAGCCGCTGACCTCAGGTCATTTTCTTAAGGATACTCCCAACAGTGTCTAGAACCCCTGGGGTTTCCAGGGAGTGTAGGGCGCTGGCTCCGAGGGACGAATGAGCAATATCCTCGGGGGAGTTAAAAACAAATCCGAGGCCCTTGCCGCCTACCCTGTTCTCTGAGAGGTGTCGTAACTCCGGGACGATAACTGCATTTGCAAAAAAGCGCTCCGGGTGATCCTGATGCTGACGTCCTGCTCAAACCACGCCCCCCACCGCCACTGGAGAATGAACCCCTGAAGCGCTGAGTTACTGAGCTGAGCCAGCCCTTTTTTATTTATTTATTTTTATTTTTATTTTTTAAATTTTGAGACAGGGTCTTTCTAAGTTACCTAGGCTGGCGTGGAACTTGTGATCTTCCTACCTCAAGCTTCCGGTTAGTTGGGATTACAGACGTGTGCCACCACTGGGCAACACCAATAGTAAATGTTATTATTTATTATAGCATTTAATAAACCCTACACAATTTTTGTTTTGTTTTGTTTTTCTTCCGGTACCAGGAATCGAACTCACGACCTTGCGCTTGCCAGGCCGGCGCTTTAACCCTGAGCTAAATTCCCAGCCCCCACAATTATTAATTTTATTTTATTTTATGTTATTTTATTTTTTGGTAGCGGGAATGGAACTCAGGGCCTCGTGCTTGTCAGGCAGGCGCTGAGCCCCTGGGCTATATCCCCAGCCCGAAAACTGCATTTTTTTTTTTTTTGGTACAGGAATCAAACTCATGACCTCAGGCTTGCCAGGCAAGCACTTATGCCGCTGAGCTATATCCCCAGGCCCCCTACACAATTATTAAGAACTGGTGTCCATCAAGGCACGATCTTAGATCAATCTCCCTGACATGTACTTTCCTCATGGTGGTCTGAATGACTTGCCTAAGGGACCCTTCAAAGTTTGAACAGTGCTTGCACCCTTGTTTAACTTTTACTCCTTTCTTCGGTGTAATTATTTGTTTGCATATCTGCCTCACCCACTGGGATGTACTTCTTGGTGGGTCATGGTTTGCATGATTCATCCTATCCCCTCCCCAAATGTCTAGCAGGAAAAAGTGCCCTTTGGAATACACTGATTTGAATTGAGAGTGGTGGTAGGGAGGCTGTCTGTGAATGAGTTTTGTGGTTTTTTTGTTTTTGTCTTTTTGAGACAGGGTCTCTCCATGCAGTTCAGGCTGGCCTTGAGCTGTCTTTGTTGCCCAGGCCGGTGTCGAACTCACAACAATCCTCCTGCCTCAGCCTCCCGAGTGCTGGGATTACAAGCCTGCGCCACCACACCCGGCCAGTGAATGAGTTTAGAATCAGCTTGCGATCAGGCTGAGAAACTCAGGGAGCACGGGGAAGGGCCCTAATATATTTATGATGGAATATTCATGGTAATTGAGTGAGTGATATTAGGGGAGTGAGGTGAGAGAAAGACTAGACAAAACTACACATAAGCCATCTCGACAGATGTCTCAGAAAGATCATGGGAATTTCCTGGTCCCCCTACAACTCAGGATTCCATTTTGCCACCTATGGAAGGGCTGGGTTCCATCTTCATAGCTCTACGTCCTGCTCAGCCATAAAGGTATGCAAGTCTTGAGCTACTGAGACAATTCCCCTCCCAGAAAAGACACAGAAGGAGAAACAAGCTCATTTGGACTCAATTTGTGGATAATTCCACGATTGCTGCCCCACGCCTCCAGTAAACCATTTAGGAAGCGCTGTGTTCCTCTGCATTTTGTGGGTGCTGGCCCTACATCAGCCCTTGGGCCTAAACCTGGAGGCCCGGACACCTGCCAGCTGAGTCAGAATCTCAGGCACGGTCGTCAGTAGGGCATCTGTGATTCAGGGCCTCAAGAATGGCGTTGGGCAAGCCACCAGACCAGCTGCCTGGGTCTCCTCCGCCTTGTTGAGGTGACAACAGGGAACTTACCTCGGACAGCTCGTCCCGGGTTCCCAAATTAGCCTTCATCGTCCGGGATCCCTGCTGTCTGCTCTACTGGTCCAGACCAGATGCTTCTCAGGGACCCGAGGGAACTGGATCAGATTCAGAGGAGGGGGCATCAACGTTCAGGAAGGTAAGGAAGGAACCTTCATGAGACTCTAAGGAACCTGCGTTTTCTACTTGAAGCTCCCTAAACTGCTTTTAAATCCAAGATAGCTGCATTTTCTTCCTTCACTCATTGCCTTGGTCTCTCCCTTCGGGCTGCAAAGTCAGTCTCCCCCGGTCTCTTCTTTATCACCCTCAGATGAATAAAATATTCAACTCTCTGTCTCCCTCTCTGTGCTATCTGATGGTTGAACCCAGGGGTGCTCTTCCTGTGCGCTGCAGCCCCAGCCTTCCTTGTCATTTTTCATTTTGAGGCAGGATCTCACTAAATTGCCCAGCCTGGCTTGAACTTGTGAACCTCTGCCTCAGCCTCCCAAGTAGCTGAGACTACAGTTGTGTGCCCCACACCCAACTCAGGCCTTTCTTTGTCTTTCCTTTCCTGTCGTGGTACTGGGGTTTGGGCCCAGGTCCTTTGCAGTGAGCTATATCCTTAGCTCTTTTTATATATTATTTTGAGACATGGTCTCACTAAGTCACTAAATTGCCCAGCCAGGGCTGGAATTTGTAATCCTGCTACCTCAGTGTCTCAGAGTGCCAGGATTACAGGCATGTACCAATACGCGGGGCGTTTTGGCTCTTTTTTGAAAGTGTTTCCCTGTTGATCATTAGATGTGGGTGTGGAGGGAAGAGAAATAAGATTATTTTACTATTTTTGTCTTTTTGAAACAGGGGTTCGCTATGTAATTTAAGATGGCTTTGAACTCACTTTGTAGCCCAGGCTGGCTTCAAACTCTTAGTGATCCTCCTGTCTCAGCCTCCCGAGTGCTAGACTACACCCAGCCTTTATTTTTTTCTTTTTTTGAGATAAGGTCTTACTCTATAGTTCATGGCCTTGAATGGCCTTCAACTCATTATGTAGTCCATTATGTGGCCTTGAACTGGAGGCGGTCCTCCTGCCTCAGCCTCCCAAGTGCTGGGGTTATAGGCCTTCCCCACCATGCCTGGTTTAAGAAATAAAAGATTTAGAGCCAAGTGTGGTGACATGAGCCTTAATCCCAGCACTTGGGAAGTGGAGGTAAGAGGATCATTGTGAGTTCAAGGTCAGCCTGAACTATATAGTGAGATGCTATCTCAAAAACAAACAAAACAAAAAATTTTGCACTGGGGCAATACACTTGCCTGGCAGATTTAACACCTTGGTCCCAGGATCCTGTCATCCTTTAATGGGATTTTGCTGCTTTATTCTGGCTGCTGCTCTCTGTGTCTTTGGTCCCCTCAAGTCTGAAGCTGTCCCAGAAAACCCTTGGGCCCCTCCGTCCCGACTGGCACCCCTCCCAGGCATGGAGGCTGAATCCAAGGAGAACTGGCCCCAGGATGCCCTGCCCGGGGTGTGGGTGATCACACAGGTGATCCGAGAGCTGGGACGCCTGAGGCCTGCCCAGCCTGAGTCACCCGGTAGTGTTGTTGTCATTGTCTTTGCTGAATTGGCCACTCAACCCCACAGACCTGTGTGTGACCAGAGGCAGCCCCGTCTCCCTAGCTTCTTCGGAGACACGGCCTGATGGTGAGACGAATGGGCTTGCGGGGGAGCCCGGGGCGGCTGAGGCGCTGGGGAGACCTGGGGTCCGGCTCCGTGCCCCTGGTTCCCATGCCACCACCGCCGCTACCGCCTGCTCCTCCAGGCCGGGGACCTGGGGCAGGGAGGGTCTCTGTCTTCTCTCTGCCCTCTGCCTCCCATACAAGAAGCTCCCCCTCTTCACTGTTCCCTGCGACCCCTGGGTCCCTGTGCTGGGGGCTGCAGGGGACGGGCACTTCTCCGCCCTGCCACGCTGCCCTGCCCATCCCAGCCACCCCTCCAAAGCGGGCACAGCCTGCACCGATGCCCAGCTCTGCTCCCCTTTCCTGGAAATCCCAGTCCGCCCCCTCCCTGGCCTCGTCCGCCCCCTCTCCCTCACACCGCTGCGCCCAGGACCCTCGTGGGCTGCGGATAGGTCCTCTGATCTCAGAGCAGGATTACGAGAGGCTGGAGGACTGTGACCCCGAGGGGTCCCAAGACTCACCGCTCCATGGGGAGGAGCAGCAGCCCCTACTTCATGTGCCCGAAGGGCTTCGGGGTGAGCATGGGGACTGGGCTGGGGGCTTAGGACTCACTTGGCCCTGGTGAGGACTTAGTGACACCATCACAATGTCTTCACATGGTCTTCTCTGTCCCCAGGCTCCTGGCACCACATCCAGAACCTGGACACATTCTTCACCAATATATCCTTCGTGCTCAGCTGCCGGAGCTGGCACAGCCTTGGTGGGGAGACTCTGAGGGTGCAGTAGGCCGGTAGAGGGGGGCGGTGTCCTTAGGACTGGCCCACCGTGCCCGATTTCTTCCTTGACTCAGGACACGTGTATAGCTATCACCAGCGGAACGGTTTCACCTGCATCCTTCTGGAGGACATTTTCCAGCTGGGGTGAGATGCTGCCCCAGCTCCTCACTCTGTCCTCTGGGCCCAAGGGCCTGTCTTTTTTTTTTTTTTTTGTACCGGGAATCAAACTCACTACCTCGAGCTTAGCAGGCAGGCCCTTTGCCTCAGCATGAGGGCTCATCTGCATCTTCCTTCCTAGTACCTCCTGCTTCTGGTCTGCTAGTGTGTCCCAGCCCAGGGCTCCAGAGCGCTCAGGGTGGGAGGGGAGCCTCAGGCTTGATCACTGCCTGGTCCCTGTGCTCCTCTCCCACAGACAATTCATTTTCATTGTCACCTTCACCACCTTCCTCCTTCGCTGCGTGGATTACGACGTTCTCTTCGCCAATCAACCCAAAAACTATACAAGACCCAGGCTGGTCCAGGGCAAAGTGGCCTTGTCAGATGCCATCCTACCCTCTGCCCAGTGTGCAGAGAGGTGAGTGACAGCCGGGTGGGGTCTCCACCCTGTGAAGCCCATCTTAGGGGTAGAGGAGGAGACAGGAGCACTCTCTTTGCTCTTTAGTCTAGATTGGCAGTTCTCAAAGTTTTTGGCCTCAGGAGTTTTTTTGAGACAGGTTCTCCCTGTGCAGTTCAGGCTGGCCTTGAGCTCACTTTGTAGCCCAGGCTGGCCTCGAACTCTCTCAACGATCCTCCTGCCTCAGCCTCCTGAGTGCTGGGATTACAGGCGTGGGCCACCACACCCAGCATGGCCTCAGGATTTAAAGTGAGACAGGATTTCACTATATAGTTCAGACGGGCCTTGAACTCATGGTGATTCTCCTGCCTCAGCCTCCCAAGTGTAGGGATTACAGCTGTGAGCCATGCCTGGCTTAAAGTATATTTTTAAAAAAAGTGTGTGTGTGTGTGTGTGTGTGTGTGTGTGTGTGTGTGTTGCTAGTGATTAAACCTAGGACCTTTACACTGAGCTGCATCCCTATACATTTAAAAAAATTTTTTGAGACAAAGTCTCAATAAGTCTCTAAGTTGCCCAGGTGGGGCTGGAACTTCCAGTCCTCCTGCCTCAGCCTTTTGGAGAACTGAGATTGGCTTTATGTGTTTTTGGTGTTTTTATTCGTTTGTGTTTTTGAGACAAGGTCTTGGTATGTAGTCCAGGCAGGACTCAAATTCCTGGTAATCCTCCTGCCTCAGCCTCCTGAGTGCTGGGCTTACAGATATGGACCACAATGCCTGGCCTAAATATGATTTGGAATACACTTCAGATTGACTGAGAACCCCAAAGAACCTTTGTTTGTAAGAATTATATCTGACCAATACTTATCCTATTAGAAATTAAAGCTGAGGACATCTCTAATTACTTGTTTATTTTTTCGTGCTGGGGATCAAACCCAGGGCTTGGAGCATGCTAGACAAGCGTTCTACCATTAAGCTCACCCTGGGCCCTGGGCCCGAGGACAGGTCAAAGCCTGGGCCTGCACAGGTGCACATTCCCTGCACTGTGAGTGTGATATCTTAGCACGTCCTATAGGGTGTGAAAACATGCACACTCAGGGGCGAATGGGAGTGCAGATGGCAGGAGGCACTAGTGTTGTTTGCAGTGAGTGTTGGCTTTGCAGACACTTGTGAGGGCTGTCTGGGGACCCTGCTCTGGACCGCACTCTGAGACCTGTTGGTCTCCCACTGCTGCTGTGGGTCTCGTTCCCTGGGTTCCTCACCCCTTCCCGCCTCCCGTGTCCCCACGCAGGATCCATGCCAGCCCCCTGCTGGTCTTCCTCCTCGTCCTGGCTGCCTGCTACTGGCTGTTCCAGCTGCTTCGCTCCCTCCGCAACCTCTTCAGCTACTGGGACATCCAGGTGTTTTACAGGGAGGCCCTGCACATCCCGCCGGTGAGCTGTGCTGTCAGGGGTGGGCGGAGAACAGAGAGCGCAGCTTCCTTACACTGGGCTCCGGAGGTGGGCGCTGTCACTTGCCTGGCAGAGCCCTTGGCCTGTGGAGCTTCCTTTATTTAGATGAGTCACGGCAGATGACTGAGAGTCACATGTTTGTGGTGAAAACAATGGGTGCCCGGCGGAAGGGCTGAGCCTGGCTTTCTAGAGCAGGAGGAGTTTGAGTTGGGCTTGGAAGGTCAGGATGGAGTCAGGAAGGGCGTTCCAAGCTCCAGCGCGAGGCGGTGGGGAAAGCAATGGGCATGTGCGGGACTCACTGCCAGCCGGAAACTGAGCCTGCAGGGGCCGAGTTGGCTTTATCACTGTTCCCTGCTCGTGCTACCTGCCTGCCCGTCCTCTCCTCTCCTCTCCATCTTGCTGCTGCTGCCGCTTGATTTGGACCTAAGTAGCACAAGTCCCTTGCTCACCCTGGGAAGTTAGGGGTTTGGCACGGCCCGCCCCCAGCACACGGGGACGCTCTAGAAGGTGCAGGAGTAGCGGGAGACAGGAGGCCGGTGGAGCAGATTGACAGTGGGATTGTGACCACTGTCCAGGGCTGCTGATTCCTCTGTCCTGTTTGCTCTGTTCCCTCCTCTCCTGTTCTTGCAGAGGAAGGGTGCCATTGGCAGGAACCAGAGAGGCTGCCTGGGGCTCAGATGGGGTCTGCAGCTCTCTAGGGAGGTCTGGCAACGTCCTCACCTGCAGACATGGACACAGCCAGGGTCTTGGGAAGGCTAATGTGATGACAGAGTACAAGTGACCAGGAGTGGGGTGGCCCCGGGGCTCTTGAAGCTCGCCAGAGCAGCAGGTGGTGAGGATCGAGGTCCAGAGGGGATGGGAAGATGCGGGTCTTCCAGGAGCTGCCAGCTTTTAAAGAGCTTAGAAGCCAGGTCGGATGCCCCAAGCCTGCTAAGGAGATGTCACTAGGAAGCACATGACTAGCCCGGCGCGGTGACGCACTCCTGTAATCCTAGCACTCGGGAGGCTGAGGCAGGAGGATCGCTGGAAGTTTGAGACCAGCCTGGGCTACAA